GTTTCACTACTTTGCAATTTTTTAAAAATTATGTGAAAAGGATAGTAGCAGAAAGTAAGAAAAAGAGAAAAGGAGAGAGTGAGAAAGAAAGATAGACTTCATGCATTTGCTGGTCACTTTAGCTGCAGTGACTGGGGTTAGTCCAGGCTGATGCCAGTAGTGGAATTCCATCCGGTTTTCCCATGTGAATAGCAGGAACTCAAGTACTTGGGTTGTGATTGCTACTTTCACAGAAACTTTAGCAGAGAGCTGCACTGGAGGCAATGCAACAGGAACTTGAATTGGCATTCTGATATGTGATGCTGGCCTTGTAAGCAACAGCTTAGTCAATTAAGACACATTTGATTTCTTTATATAATGTCTTTTTTGGTGATTGTCATTTCGTGCATATATTATTTTCCTGATTCCCTTTAGGTGTCTTAGGACTTTTAAATCAACTTTTGGTATAAAATTCTGATGCCTTTATTTCTTAATGTATTGCTTCCGTCATTTTATTTTATTTTAAATGAATCTTAATTTCTATTTTTTTGTATATATTGGCAATGTTTTTTTTTTTCTGAAAATACGTTTTTTGAGACAGTTTTTTATCCCGCTCTATAACTGGACCTTGATTATGCATGATGCAATCAACCAGAGGAACAAGCTGAAGAAATATTTATGTCTTCCTTGTTCAAAATATTGTTTGTGCTTGTTTTGGACTTTGTTTCACCTGTACTCACAGTTGCTTTTAAATGCCTTACATTTCCTCAATAATTTCAAAGCATCTTCTGCTTAGAATCTAGTCTTCTGATTAGAATTGGTATCTCCTCCTGTAATCATTATGTTCTTGCTGTTTTCCTTGTGTTGCTTTTATAAACAGCCCCAAATGCTTTCTGCTGTTTTCTTTGTTGACCTCTGAGTTTTGCTACTTCTCCCCAGTTGCGCTCAAAAGTAGGTGAAACAGAGATTAATCCTTCAGAATCTATAAGATACAGCGTGTCATTGCCAATAATGTTTTGTTTGCTTTCCAGTTCAAGGAAGAGAATTGGGAACTTTGCTAGAATCTTCCTCAGACAAGAACTTATCCAAGTGAAGATGTAGACAAGAAGGAACAAAAATGCCATGCAATTTCCTATAATTCTCAATGTTAATTGCTCTTTCTTAATTTTATTTTTGATGATGATTACATCATTGAGAGGGGTGTGCCATGTGGACTACAGAGTAGGTTAGGGAGGGTGGAGGAATAGGGAAAAGTGGATGAGACAACTGTTTCCATCTTTTTTTCTTCTTCCTGAATCTGAGGAAGTGGGGAAAGAAAGGGAGTGGCTACACTCAGCACTGTAACTGCATCAGTACCAGGGTTGGGGAGATTGGACATTGGCTTAGTTGTTATGGAACTGTGACTAATTTTTAGAGTTCCTGTACGATTATTATACCAAAGTGGTTTGTGTGTGTGTGTGTTTTTTATCCATAGGAGAACAAGGGCTTGGGAGTCTACAATCTCAATTTCAGCTCAATATTTTTTTTTTTAAATTTTAATTCTACTATCAGCCTGATTACTATACCTATCTTTATCATCTACAAATAATGCTTTATTGTTGATCAGGGCATGACCATGTGCAATGGCATGTGGGTAGAGCTCTGGAGATCTTTAATTTGTTCATTCATTCAACAGTGTGCTTTTAAGAGTAGCTCTTTGCTGAGTTAGAAACATACTTAACCACTGTTACATAGGTTGTGTTTTAAAACTTTTCTTACCTTTGACTTAACTAAAGTACTAGACACAGTGTTACTTCCAAAGGTTTGTGGAAAATAGAACAAATTTACTCTGGTGCAAAAATTTTTGAAACCTTTTCATGTCTCCTTTTTCAAAGTACATTCTTTTATAAATTCTTTGAAGATCTTTCATATACATCAATTTCAAAATTTGCACCAAAACAAATGTATCTTCTAGTTTAATTTCCCTGAATTTTCTGATGTATTTTCAAAATTAGAGCTGCTAATCTTATAGCTCAGTTAAAAGCAAATAGTTTGATTTGATTTCCCTCAATTTCAAACCATTTGTAATCTCCTCCATGTGATCATTAATTTCTCTGATAAAGCCTTTTCAACTCTGAGGCTGACACTTTTCCATGTAGCCAGTGATCTCAGCTGTTTAATTTCCTTCCCCAACCCGGTCCTTTTTGAGAAGGAAAAACTCGGTAAAGATACTTGCATGGCCATTGTGTATTGAACCCTGCACCCTAATTACTAAAGTTAGTAGTCAGGGATAACTTAAAAGTAGCTCTACCATTTGACAGACACAGTTCTGTGCTTTTTCTTCCTATTTCTTCAAATGGATCATATGTTTGTCAAGATTTATTTTTAAAATTTATATATATATATATTTAAAGATTCATTGATTTTTACTGGAAATTCATATATGCAGAGAGGAGAAGAGACAGAGAGGAAGATCTTCCATCTGCTGTTTCACTGCCCAAGTGACCACAGCAGCTGATGCCCAGCCCATCCAAAGCCAGGAACCAAGAATTTCTTCTGGGTCTCCCATGGATGTTCAGGGACTCAAGGCTTTGGGCTGTCCTTGACTGCCTTCCCAAGTCACAAGCAGGGAGCTGGACGGGAAGTGGTTTACCAGAACACAAACTGGCACCTGTATGGGATCCCAGTGTGTGCAAGGCCAGGACATTAACTAGGCTGCTGTGCTGTGCTCCCCCCCCCTTTTTTTTTTTAGCATTAGAAAGGCAGATACACAGAGAGAAAGAGATATGGAGAGAGAATGGTCTACTATCTGCTGGCTCATTTCCCAAATGGTGTCAGCTGCCCAAGCTGAGATGATCTGATCCAAAGCCAGGAACAAGAAACTTCTTCTGGGTTTCCCATGCAGGTGGAGGGTACCAAGGCTTTGGTCCATAGTCAACTGCTTTCCCAGATCACAAGCAGAGAGTTGAATGGCAGAGAGCCAGGACACAAACCAGCTCACATATGGGATCCTAGTGAATGCAAGGTGAGGTTTTGTCCATTTTGGCTATAGCGCTGGACTCTGCCCTCAATACCCTATCCCCTTATGTACACAGTCTCTTGCTGTGCTCCCCCAATAGTGCAGACACCAAATTTTTGCTTTTTACTCACATGCTCTAGTCATCCAGGATTGCTTTCCTATCCCATTGAACCTGCCCTGTATAGAATCTGTAAGGAAACTTTTGAAAACATATTTTATACTATGGCAAAGTACCAAAATTGCATCTTCAATCTGAGGATTGTTATTGATAAATTGGATTTCTGGCAATCTGTCAGATATAGCTGACCTTCACTAAATCAAGGTTTTCTTTCTTTTTGTTTTTTGTTTGTTTGTTTTGTTGTTGGTAAAAAATAGGGCATGTTTATATTTTTTAAACACATGCATAAAATCACTGATGACTTTTAAGCAAGGGTATTTACTATTCAACTGATTCAGAGACTTGAAATAAAATAAGGCCTGATTCTTACAGTTCTGATTTTTTTTGTGAGAACAACCTGTGTGCAGCATTCCATACAATAAGGAACCCTCATAGAAACAAACATTGGAAAAAATTCTATTATTAGTTACAGAAAAAGTACTTTTCTACTGGCAGTTGCAACTTCTTTGCCAAGATATTAATGATTAGGATACATTTTCACTTTTACACTTGAAAACATAGACAGTTGTAGCAGTATCATTAGCTTAAATGTTTACAAAATCAAGATAGTAATTAAACATTCTTAAGTATCTTAGTCTTCGTTATATAATTAAATGTGGAATTGCTAGGGTTTAGGTAGAAGGTTAGAGTTTTTGCTTTTGAAATTCTCCTTAAGTAGCTTATTAATACAGATTTTATTTTGTAGTTAAAGGAAGTGATTCTTTAAATGCTTAGGTTAAGTGCAACTTCAAGATCAAGTTTTGGAGTGATACAGGCCTATCTTGGACTGAGAACTCGTTGACAAAGAACTCAGACTTTGAAACCAGTTATTTGATTTTTTTTTTTTTTTGCAAAGTCAGATAGACAGAGAGGAGGAGAGACAGAGAGGAAGATCATCTGGTTGACGATTCACTCCCTAAGTGACCCCCAACAGCCAATATTGTGCTGATCCGAAGCCAGGAGCCTCTTCCGGGTCTCCCACGCGGGTGCAGGGTCCCAAGGCTTTGGGCCGTCCTCGACTGCTTTCCCAGGCCACAAGCAGGGAGCTGGATGGGAAGCAGGACTGCCAGGATCAGAACTGGTGCCCATATGGGATCCTGGCGCGTTCAAGGCGAGGACTTTAGCCACTAGAGCACCGCACCGGGCCCCTGATTTTCTATTTTTATTCTCATGTTGTCAATGTTGTTTCTTTTGCCTGTAAAGTTTTTGCCATGTTTCTTTGCTAGAGAGAAATTTCACTCATCCTGCAAAGTCTAAACTTTTCATAGCAAACCTTCTTAAAAGTTAGACTATAATGAACATATTAGTTCTGCCTTCTTACTTTCTCTGCTTTCCATCCCAATGGGATTTACAACTTTGTTCTATACACCAGCAGTGTGTGCGATGTATATGTAATCTAAACATAATTATTTAAACATTTAAAAATTAGTGTGACAGACAGGGCATGCAAAGAGACAGAGAGTAAGAGGAAATTTCCCATCTGCTGGCTGACTTCACAGCACTCCAATGGCTGGAGCTTGACTGATCCAAAGCCAAGATCTTTGGGTCTCCTACACTGCTGGAGGAAACCGAACAGTACTCCTTTCCCAAGTGTAACTGGGAGCTGGATCAGAAGTGTAACAGCCAGGGCTCCTTGCTAAGCCTCAGTGCTGTCCCCTAGAGTATATTTTTAAATCATTTAAATTTAAATGTAATTGCATTATTCAAGGCTCTCCGGAGAAGCAAAACTATGGGAATGACTAAATCTGAGGAAGTGTGTATATACAAAGGATATTTGAACGTTTATGGAAAATGAATGCTATGGAAATACTGTTTAGAAAGTTACCAATCATTTTCTACTATCTTCTTGAAAGATGCACACACAACTGCCGTGATGAGATCACTCCATAGGAAGTGCCGTCAGAAGCGAAAGATGCACACACAAACACACAGAGAGAACTTCATTTCTAGATTATATTAAAGGACTATTTTTTACGTTAAAATATATAATGACATTACTTAGCATATCATATATTTATTTATGACTTTCAATATTTTATAGTATTTTTGTGAGATTCATCCATAGTATTTTGATGTGTGTAGCAGTAAAGGGAACGGGAGAGAGAGGGATACAGAAAGGGAGGCAGAGAGTTCCCATCCACAAATGCCAGTAACAGGAACGAGGCCAAAGCAATGAAGGGAACACAGTCCAGATCTTTCATGTGGATAGCAGGAATGCAACTACTTGAGCCATCATTGCCACCTCTTAGCATCTGCATTATCAGGAAGTCGCAGTCAGTGGCCAGAGGGGATTATTGAGTCTTGGTTCTCTGATAGAATACGTTGGCATAGTACTGCTACATCAAATGCCTGCACCGCTAAACAATTATTAATACTTGCCTAGAATATATACCAAGAAATGGTGATTTCATTAATAACGTATTCTATAAATCTGTAAACTTTTATAGTAAACCTAGTTATTTGATAACAGCATTACCAACTACGTATTTCCAATATTTAAACCTTTGCCCTCCACTAACTTAAGTGTTTCAATAGCATAACTTTTCTGATAGAGACCAAAGATTTAGGAAAATGGTAGGTCCTATTTTTTTTTTCATTATTTTAAAATACATTTCCATAGTCTCTGAGGTTTCTCCCCGCCCCCATAATCCCTCCTCCCACTGATATCCCCTATATTATCACAGTAGTAGAGTCCTTCATAAAGAGTTGTAAGTTCAATCATCTGCTGTTTAAGAGTGTCCCGACATTGTAGGTATGGAAAATGACAATGTCAAAATATATTGAATAGTTTCATGGGGACTCCATCTGTGTTTTGGAAGTAGAGATGCCTACTACATTATAGCTTCATATCTGGATGTGACCGTCTCTAACACATAATTATTATACATTCCCTTAAATGAAAAGCCATAAAACAAAATTGACAGGGAGGAAAAATAGAAAATTAGCACCATGAAGTTAAATAACATGCGACTGAATGACCAATGTGCTGCTGAGTGAAAAATAAAATAAAAAACTTCCCTGAAGCAAACGATGCTGCTGTATGACCTATGCATCACTGAAGAAACTGATAAAAAAAAACTTTTTTGAAAAAAATGAAAATAAAAAACAATATTGACAGGGATATTTATCACATCAGGTGCTTACAAAAATAGAAATATATAAATAAATGATCTAATAATGCATCTCAATGACTTATTAAAAAAGAAAATGAACAGAAAGCAAGAAATGATAAAGTCACAACAAAAATAAATGGAATTGAAACTAAAAAATCACAAGCTGCAACAAGAGCCCATTTTTAAGAAGATGAGCAAAACACACTATAAGCAAGACTGGCAAAGAAAAACAACTCAGACAGAACAGGTAATATTAGAGATGGAAAAGAAAATATCCTTGGATACTGGTAAGGTGATCTCTTCTTGCTGAATGGATCCTTTGATCATAATGTGGTGTCCTTCTTCATCTTTTAATATTTTTCACGTCAAAGTCTATATTATGTGATATATCAATGGACACACTAGTTTGTTTTTCCTTTCCATTAGCCTGGGATATCTTTTTCTATCCTTTAAGTTTCTGCATATTTTTGTTGGTAAGATGTGTCTCATGTAGGCAACAGATAGATGTTTATTTGTTTTTATGCAGGCTGTTAATTTATGACACTTGATTGATGAGTTTAAGCCATTTGCGTTCAGGGTTAATATACATAGGTAGTAATTTGGTTTTGTCATTTTAGCAAGTGGTTGTTGATTATTTGAGTTAGTCTTCCTTTATTACAGCGTTCTCAAATTTTGCCTGCTGGTTTTTTTTTTTCTCTGCCAACAGAACATCTTTAAATATAATTTGTGTGGCAAGTCTGAAAGAGGAGAATTCTTTGAGCTTTTCATTACGGTAGAAGAATTTTCTTTCATTTTTTAAAGACAAAGGAAAGCTTTGCTTGGTTGCTTTTCTGTGATGACAATTGTTTCCTTTTAGAATCTGTAATATGTCACTCCATTCCATTTTGGACTGTAGAGTTCCCTTTGAGAGGTCAAATGTGAGTCTCTTTTGGATTTCTTTATGATTAATTGATTTTTTTATGTGTATATTTAAGGATATTTTCCCTATGTTCAACTGAAGAAAGCTTGATGATCATGTGTTGTGAAGATCGCTTTTGGTCAACCGTTTTGGATTTCTGTGTCCCTCCTGTATTTTGTTTTCCAATTCTTTCTCCAAATTAGGGAAGTTTTCGTTTATTATTTCATTGAATACATTTTTAAAACCAGCTTCTCTTTCTGTACCTTCTGGAACTACCATAACTCTTGGATTGTGTCTTTTAATACTATCCCTTGATTCTTGAATACTTTTGTGATCTTAACTCAGTTCCTCCTCCAGGTTTTTGATATTTCCCTCCATTGTTGAAGTAAATGTCTTCCAATTCTGAAACTCTTTAATTTACCTCACTTATTCTATTACTGAGGCTTTCATCTGAATTTTTAATTTACTCCATTGTGTCCTTCATATCTAACAAATCAGCTAGATTTTATTTTAGTGCTGCTATTTCAAGTGTGACATATTTCTTAAATTCCTTGAACTCCTGTCTGTGTGTCTCATGCTTGGTAAGAAGCATTACAACAAGTTTTTATTTTATTTATTTATTTGTCTATTTATTTATTTATTTTAGAAAGTCAGAAAAACAGAGAAGAGGAGAGACAGAGGGGAAGATATTCTGTTTGATGATTCACTCCCCAAGTGACTGCAATGGCCAGAGCTGAGCTGACCTGAAGCTAAGACTCAGGAGCAAGGAGTCAGGAGCCAGGAGCCACGAACCAGGAACCAGGTGCTTCCTCTGATTTTTCCCATTCAGATGCAGGGTCCCAAGGCTTTGGGCCATCCTCTAATGCTTTCCTAGGCCACAAGAAGGAGCTGAATGGGAAGTGGAGCTGCTGGGACATAAACAGCACCCATTTGGGATCCCGGCAGATGCAAGGCATGGATTCAATCACTAAGCTACCGAGACGGTCCTGTTTTAAAACTCTTTCCCCCGATTTCCTCAATGTCTGCCTCAGATAACCCTGAAGTTGACAAAGGTTTTTTCCTCTCTGTAGGGGAGACATCAGTAATTTTCATTATGCCTCTGCCTTTTGGTCATTGCTATCATGGTTAGATTCCTCTTTTTAGGTCCGGTTCTTAAGCTCCGTCGCCCACTGGTCTATGGGTCAATTTTACTGCTACCTGGTTCTTCATTTGTAATCACTTGTGCTACTCCCTCCAGTGAGTTTCAGTCCTAGCCCTTGTGCTAGCTTTCCGTCATGGCCTCTTTAACCCCATTTCCTGGCTCACCACTTTCTGCCACCTGTTATCCTGTACTGTGGCTGCAGCATTGCCTGCACAGCCTTTCTCCAACACCCAGTTCAAGCAGTGACCGGAATTAAGAAGACGCCAGCTGGCCTAACTCACTGGGTATCAGAGGTGCTTGTCTTGCCAGAACCTGCTGGCTGATAGGTCTGAAGGCCACCCAGACCTATTTTGGTTAGAACCCGTAGAATGCCAAGACAGTACTGTTTTCCTTGTGAGAACAATTGAGTCAGAAGAGAGTTATCTCCTGGCTTAGTGTATGTGCAGCTTGCTATCATTCCTTCAGTAACACAACCTTTTCCTTAGTATGCAAAATGGTGCCAAATGTGGCAATGGTGAGGGATCTGGTTCTGCCTGTCATTAGGTCTGGGTGCCTATTTTGAGTGGAACCTTCAGGATACCTTTGAGACCAATGCAATGCGTCAAGTCAGAAATGAGCTCACTGCTGGTTTAGCATATGTCCAGCTCTCTGTTTTCTCTCTAGGCTCATAGCCTTTTCCTCAGTACACAAAATGGCACCTGATGTGGCATTGGTGGGGTTCTGAGCTGTGAAATTCACCATCTTTCTCTATCTGCCAGCTTGGGCTCTGTCGCTCTGCTTCTGCTTTTGATCGGCTCACACAAATCACTAAGACCATCAGTTCTAAACGAGGGTTCACCTCCTGAGCTCCCAGTAAACCACCTGGCCACTGGGGGAGCACTGATTGCTGATCACCAGCCACTGCTGGGGTATCTGGTCACTGTAACACTGCTCTGCTGTCTTTGCTGCTTCCCCATGTCCACTGGTTTCCAGGTGACCCTCCGGCATCGGCCTGTCCTCTGCTATTTCCCAGCCTCTCTGTTTCATTCTGGGTAATGACTCTCCATCTGTTTAAATGTGCCTGTACCCTATTCTGCCATCTTGTTTTTTTGTCATTCTTATTTCTTGTACTTATTCATTCTTAAATCAACAATGTTTCTATTAGGTCCTCTATTCCATGTGTAATCAATTCAAAGTTCATCAGTAGCTTAGTATTTGTAAAAATGGGAACAATCATTTGGAGAACAGCACAAGATATTGTTGTTTAGCTGGAAGCATATGATTTGCTGTAAATGTCTTACATAACTATTTGCATAATTGATAGTCTTAGTTGCCAAGCATTTCATCCAGTCATTTTCAGTCATTTTTATATTTTTTTTCAGTTTTTAACAGATTCAATACAGTTTGTAGATAAAATACTAAGCTAATAATGATATTTTTATTCCTTTCTTTCACTTTTGAGATAACAATTTTAATTTGTGTTGCAATCAAGTGCTTAATGCTCCACTCAATGAAAGTTCAATAAGTAAGCACCCCCCAAAAAATCTAGTTTAGCATGAATAGTCAAGGGCTGTAAACATTAATCAAATGGACACTGACCATTTCATCCATGGACAGCAAGTTTTAGTGTCATCACACATTGTTAAAACTACAGTAGTATCACATTCTTAACCATTAATTTGTCAAAGATATCAAACAAAGCTTGACATAGCTGTATTTACAGTCATGGTGACAAACACAGGCATTTCTTTTTTGTCACTGTTTTTTGATTTTTTCCATTTTTAATTTTAAATTACGCATATAA